CTTTATCAAAGAGGAAAGTCTTAAGTCTAGTCTTAAATGTGGAGACGGTGTCTGCCTCCCGGACCGTAACAGGAAGATGATTCCACAGGAGAGGAGCCTGATAGCTGAAGGCTCTGGCTCCTGATCTACTTTTGGAGACTTTAGGGACCACGAGTAACCCTGCGTTCTCAGAGCGCAGTGTTCTGGTGGGATAATATGGCACTATGAGCTCTCTAAGATATGACGGAGCTTGACCATTTAGAGCTTTATAAGTTAACAGTAGGATTTTAAATTCAATTCTGGATTTTACAGGGAGCCAGTGCAGAGAAGCTAAAACAGGAGAAATATGATCTCGTTTCTTAGTTCCTGTTAGTACACGTGCTGCTGCATTCTGAATTAGCTGGAGAGTTTTTAAGGACTTACTAGAGCTACCTGATAATAGAGAGTTACAGTAATCCAGCCTTGAGGTAACAAAAGCGTGGACCAATTTTTCTGCATCTTTTCGGGTCAGGATAGGCCTAATTTTCGCAATATTACGCAGATGAAAAAATGCAGTCCGTGAGGTTTGCTTTAAATGAGAATTAAAAGACAAATCTTGATCAAATATTACTCCGAGGTTTCTTACGGTAGTGCTAGAGGCCAGAGCAATGCCATCTAGAGAAACTATGTCATCAGATAAAGAGTCTCTGAGTTGTTTGGGGCCAAGAACAATAACTTCAGTTTTGTCTGAATTTAACATCAGGAAATTGGTGCTCATCCAATTTTTTATGTCTTTAAGGCAGTTATGGAGTTTAGTTAATTGATTACTTTCTTCTGGCTTCATCGATAAATACAACTGTGTATCATCCGCATAACAATGGAAATTTATAGAGTGATTTCTAATGATGTTACCTAAAGGAAGCATATATAGAGTAAATAGGATTGGTCCGAGCACAGAACCTTGCGGAACTCCAAAACAAACTTTGGTACGTAAGGATGATTCATTACGAACGTCAACAAATTGAAAACGATCAGATAAATAAGATTTAAACCAGCTTAGTGCTGAACCTTTTAGGCCAATTAAGTGATCCAGTCTCTGCAGTAGAATTTGATGGTCAATTGTGTCAAACGCCGCACTAAGATCTAATAAAACAAGAACAGAGACGAGTCCTTTGTCTGAAGCAATCAGAAGGTCATTTGTAATTTTAACTAGAGCTGTCTCAGTGCTATGATGCACTCTAAATCCTGACTGAAATTCCTCAAATAAATTATTATCCTGGAGAAAATCACACAGCTGGTCTGCGACTACTTTCTCAAGGATCTTTGACATAAAGGGAAGATTAGATATTGGTCTATAGTTGGCTAACACCTCTGGATCCAGGGTGGGCTTTTTTAGGAGAGGTTTAATTACAGCTACCTTAAAAGACTGTGGTACATAGCCTGTTAATAGGGATATATTGATCATATCTAATATATGAGTGTTAACTAAAGGAAAGACCTCCTTAAGTAGCCTAGTTGGGATGGGGTCTAAGAGACACGTTGATGATTTAGATGAAGAAATCACTGCGGTCAATTCTTGAAGAGAAATTGGGGAGAAGCAATCTAAATATATATTAGATTCTACAGCTGTGTTTGAGGTTAGATAGGTAGGCCTACCATCTGAGGGCAGGAGGTCATGAATTTTGCCTCTAATAGTTAGAATTTTGTCATTAAAAAAGCTCATAAAATCATTACTGCTAAGGGCTAAAGGAATACAAGGCTCAATAGAGCTTTGACTCTCAGTCAGCCTGGCTACAGTGCTGAAAAGAAACCTGGGGTTGTTCTTGTTTTCTTCTATTAATGCTGAGTAATAGTTTGCTCTGGCATTGCGGAGGCCCCTCTTATAAGTTTTGAGACTGTCTGTCCAGATTAAACGAGATTCTTCCAGTTTGGTTAATCGCCAATTCCTTTCAAATTTTCGCGATATTTGTTTTAACCTACGGGTTTGAGAGTTATACCAAGGAGCAAACTTTCTTTGCTTTGTTAACTTCTTTTTAAGAGGAGCTACAGAGTCGAGCGTTGTTCGCAGCGAGCCTACGGCGCTATCAACAAAATGATCAATTTGGGAGAGGTTAAAGTCGGCACGGGAAACCTCTGTTACTGAAGGTATTGGTATTGAATTTAACGACGAAGTAATCTTTTCCTTAAATTTTGTGACAGCACTATCTGATAAACATCTAGTATAGTAACTGTTGCTGAGTGGCGTGTAATCGAGTAAAAAGAAATCAAAAGTAATCAGATAATGATCTGATAGCAAGGGATTCTGTGGAAAGACTTTTAGGTTATCAATTTCAATTCCATACGTCAGAACTAGATCGAGGGTATGGTTAAAACAGTGAGTGGGTTCATGTACACCCTGACTGAAGCCAATGGAGTCTATTAATGAGATAAACGCGGTAGCCAGGGAGTCATTATCAACGTCGACATGAATGTTAAAATCGCCTACAATAATAACTTTATCTGATTTAAGAACTAAACTGGATAAAAACTCTGAGAATTCAGATACAAATTCAGAATACGGGCCAGGAGCACGGTACACTATAACAAATAAAAGTGGCTGCGAGGTTTTCCAGGTCGGATGTAAAAGACTAAGAACGAGGCTTTCAAATGAATTATAATCTAGTTTAGGTTTAGGGCTGATTAACAGACTAGAGTTAAAAATGGCTGCAACTCCCCCTCCTCGGCCGCTGCCTCGAGGAATGTGGGTATTATTATGACTGGGAGGAGTGGACTCATTTAGACTAACATATTCATCTTGACACAGCCAGGTTTCAGTGAGACTGAGTAAATCAATATGATTATCTGATATTAATTCGTTTACTAACACTGCTTTAGACGATAGAGACCTGATATTTAACAGTCCGCATTTAATATGGATCAATGTTTTCACTTTGCATCAATGACATTAGATTGCTGATCAATTTATCAATATATCGATCCACACTGATGGATTGTTTCACTCCTAATGGATCCACAGCCAGATGCATCAGCAAACCATCAGGTACCATAACTTGATCAGAGGCCCCAGGGGGAAATTAGTTGCTTGGCTCCAGTTAACCAGTTCCTTAAAACTGTGAACAGGGACAAATTCTGACTTACAGGTTGTACTAGATCGCCATCTGCTGGACATTTACCATTAGGTGGGGCTGCAGCCTCCTCTGTTAGGATCAGTTGGGTCAGTTGAAATGCTTGCTGTCCTGTTCCTGCATGCATTATTTTGTAAAGATGCATGAGTAGTCACTGGCTCATATTTACAGATAATGTTAATAGCAGTGGTATATTGTTGATATTAGGATGTGGTAAGCATAATGTTAATTTCCTTATTTTACATATTTTCAATAACTGTTGAATTGAAGAGAGATCTTCCTAAAATGGCAGAAACAAATCATATATATGTATTGACTGCATTGTCAGTTTCACAGAGTTTTATGGTCAGCCATAGCCTACTGGGGAACCCAGAGGAAAAAAATGCTGTTGGGTCCCAAATGATGTCACACCTCCAAGCTCCCATTAATTAATTTTATGATGCATTGTCCATATATGGTCATTAAAATGTTTGTATCCTTTCAGAATGTGATGTCATCACATTTTGATATTATTTTCTATTATCATTATTATTATTATTATTATTTTATTGTTATTGCAATACTCAGCTGGTCCTATACATTCACAGTTGAAAATCTTGACTCACCGCAGCATATTGGAAAATACCTTTAGAGTATGAGTTGGGTTTTCTTTTGAGTTTTTTATTCTCAGCTAATCAGTCAATACAGAAACAAAACTGGATTGCATAGTTTTAATGATGTAAACTATCTTTACCTTTTTCATTTTTTTCTTTTATACCTTTTTTGTTATTGTCAGCATAACTGAAGAAAACTGGACTGTATTCCAGATTTTTAACAATGTGAACTGTATTTACCCTTTTCATTTTTTTTCTGTTATAGTCAACATATTTTAATGAAACCGGACTGAGTTCCAGATTTCCAACTAACAATCTTTAATCATGGATGAAAGATTCTGAAAACATTTCACTCTCCAGTTTTTCTAAGGTAACGTGATTACTTTAAATTATAGAGCAGGGCTTGTAAGTTTGGGACACCTTGAGGGGGCTGCAACAATGCAACAATACAAGAACTGGACTACATTCCAGATTTTCAACTACGTGAAGCATCTAGAGTATTTTTTGAAGGCAATGATTTTTTTAATTAATTTAATGATGCATTGTACATACATGGTCATTAGAAATGTTCACATCCTTTTGGAATGTCATCAGACTTTTATCTATATGTTTTGTAATGTTAGGTCAGCCTTAAACAAGTTTATCATCAGACTAAAGCTATTTCTATGTTGATTTGAGATTGTTGGGATCATTTAACAGCTCAGTGTTGGATGCCAGCTGCTGCTATGGGTGGATAATGAAACACTGGGCCCCTGGGCACAGATATGCAAAAGGCCCCATCATCTCTCCTACATAAGTGTAAGACACACAATGGACATTTTTTAGGCATAATACACACTCACAAAACAATCCTGGAAGATGATCAGCTCTGCACTCAGAATTTCTAGTGAGTAGGCTCTGATTCAGCGCTGGTTATGGTTGCTTAGCAAACTCAGACACAACCTGCCTCTGCGAACTTTAAAGTTGGCACAGAGTAGGCACAAGGGTGGCACCCAGTGCCTGACCTCGCCTTTTCCAGGTGGCGGCCCCTTAAACATGAAAACTTGTTTTAGGAAGTGGGAACAGTTACCCAAACTGTGCAGAGATTCACTAATTCACTCTTTCCAGAGTTAGATATCATAATTGTCCATTAAATGTTAAGCTGGACCAAGGAGACAGTTAGCTTAGCATACTTCCAAACTAGAAGCGGGGGGAAGCAGCTGGCCTGGCTCGCTGACAGAAATATAAAACAGGGGAAAGTAGCAAATCTGCAATGATTTGTATTTTTGCTTGTTTACAAATAATCATTGATCTCAATATGCACAAACAAAAAACCAATGTCAGGTTGAAATGATTCAATTACTGGTTGTTTATTTTGCTATTGTTACTGGCAGTTAAAAGGGAACACGCTTATTATTAGCAGCGATCCTCATTTAAATACAAGTTCTTATATATACATACAGTGTTAGCATGAAGTGCTCTTGATTCACTTAGATCAGATACGTATTGCTTTCCAACCTGAAAAAGAGGGTATTATTAAAGTGACAGATCACACCAGCTCATCTGCTTGCTCACTGACCTAGCTAACATTACAGCTCAGTTGAGGAGGATGGTTTACATTTCACGCTGTCAGGACCACCATGAGTAAATGCATGCTTTTATCTGCATGTGATATGGATGGCGGGTTTTATTTTGGTATAAAGAAAATAGTTCCTACATTAAACTGCTCACATGGTCTGTGGATTATCTTGAGAAAGGGACTGTCCTTATTTATCAGAGGAGAGGGGTGGCTTATGTGTGACTTTGGTTTTGTTTTCGACCTCAAATATTTTTTCTTGAGCCTCCCTAAGTGACAAAATGCATGACCATCAATCACCATCAATTAGTAATTAGATTTTTAAAACTTACCCTTTGATTTCTGAAAGTTAAAAGTGAAAAGTTGAAGACGAAATACTGGAGCGGAAAAAGGCTTCGTTTTTTCACAGTTGTCATGCATGCCTGTTAGTTCATGCAAACAATTAATTTTTGGCCAAATTTTAAATGAGACGTAAAGTGATTTTAATGAAATTAAAATCAATCAATTTTAAACTCAGACTTGGTAATGTTTTGTTTTTTTCCCCCTGCCGGAAATATTCATCACACATGATGTGTACAAGAACCATCGGAAATTTGAAAATTCAATGACAATTTATGTTTTTACAGTTTCTGGTTCAGAAGGCACGTTTTCTTTATTTATTGGTAATAAAATAAATACAAAACAGAGCTATTCTAAGTTTCTCCCCAGCACTTAAAAATATTGTTTGCCATGCCTCTCCCCTTTTGCACCATCCCCTCCCCCTTTTTAAATAACGAATAGTCCCTAACTGGATCATGATTTCTGGAAAGAGACATTGCTGTTGAGTTTTTAAATCTGTTTTTTGCTGCTTTGAGCACCACAAAACGAGTGCCATCCAGTTCCGTTATATTGGAGAGAGGACCAATATCTCCAACGCAACTCACCCCAAAACAATCTAGGTTGATAAATAGCACTACAGGTAAGAGGGAAAATATGTATTTTTGATTTTGGGATTAATTGTCCCTTTGGTGACCACATGGTGCATTAGGAGGCAGATGCACTAACAATAAAACCATCAGATTTATGTACAATCCCACATGCCCCATGTTACATAACATGTCTTCGTACTGATATCAGTTTTCACTTGAGTGATCTGTCCCTGTTTGTCTCATCCAGACGTCCTGTTTTTACAGCAAATACTTCCTGTGACATTAATCTGTGATCAAGCCATGAACGGCGATGATGAGATTCTCTGTGATTAGTGACTCCCCCTCAGGCTCAAGATCTTTATAGTTGTCTCGGCTGAAGAATTTTCCCAGGATTCATCAGGTTCTTTGGGTCGAGGGCATCCTTGAGTGTCTGCATGACCTGGAGAGCCATGGGTCCCATCTCTTCACACAATAGTGCTCTCTTTCCTAAGCCCACTCCGTGCTCCCCTGTACATGTACCATTCATGGCCAAGGCTCGCCTGGAGTGAAAACAAACCACATTAATTCACTTCAGTGTTTATTCAGTGCTGTAGTGTTGTAGCCCCTGCCTTTAACTTTAACATGTTAAGTTAAACATGCTAATATCACAATATCTTTCATAAAGCTAAAAACAAATACCTGAGGCTTTCAGCAATTCTTCTGCTATTCAGTACAAAAGGCTTTTGAAATTTTGCACATAAATGTATGTTATCTGAAAGTATATGAAAATAAATATGTTTTCACTGATGGTTTTCTTTCGGTTTTGCACATCTTCAAACTGATATATTTTTTTGTTTTTTTGTAAATATACACTCATTCTGATTTTGATGCATTTGTCATCTGAGAAAGGCTCAGCTGTTCACAATTAAGGATGGTGCAAGTTTAACTCTATAGGCCCTAGGACTTTTTGGGGTATTTTTATTGGCTTTACTTTTAAGCTCATATCATAGTCATTATAAAGGCTACATACAAATGCTATATCTTCCTTTTTTCCCAGGAAAATCTGGGCTATCCAGATTTGCCATCATTAATTTTATATCAATGAAAAAACAAATCTGTGTTACTAAATTCTTACATTTTTACATGTATCTCACCATAGCAAATTGGAAATAGACATATTCTGACACACACACACACACACACACACACACACACACACACACGACGTTCAGGCTCATTGGGTTAACTACTTTGTAAAAGCTGTGTTGGCAAATAGTCCAACAATATACCAACAATGTTTCTCAAAGCATGTCTACAAAGAATTTAGTGATTTAACCATCTACGATTGATAATATCATCAAGAGATACAGAGAATCTGCAGAGATCTCTGCACGTAAGGGGCAAGGCTCAAAACCAGTATTGAATGGCCATGACCTTTGACCCCTCAGGCTGCACTGCAATAAAAACCAGCATGACTGTGAAAAGGATATTATTACATGGGCTCAGGAACACTTCAGAAAACCATTGTCAGTAAATGGTTTATCGCAGCATCTACAATGCAAGTTCAGTCTCTACCAAGCAAAGTCAAAGCCATATATCAACAACATCCAGAAACACCGCTGGCTTCTCTGGATCGGAGCTCATCTGAGACGGACAGCCACAAAGTGGAAAAGTGTGCTGTGGTGAAGAGTCCATCATGGATGTTGTGTGCTCTGTGCTAAAGAGGAAAAGGACCATCCAGATTGTTACCAGCTCAAAGTTTAAAGCCAGCATCTATGATGGTATTGAGGTGTGTTAGTGCCCATGGCATCATGGGTAACTCTCACATCTGTGAAGGCACCATGAATGCTGAAAGGTACATACAGGTTTTGGAGCAACATATGCTGCCATCCAAACGACATTATTCCAGCAAGACAATGAGACACATTCTACATGTGTTACAACAGCGTGGCTTTGTAGTAAAATGATGCAGGTACTAGACTGACCTGCCTGCAGTCCAGACCTGACTCCCATCAAAAATGTTTGGAAGATTAAAAAGCACAAAATATAAGAACAGAGACCCCAGAATGTTGAACAACTATAGTCATATATCTAGCAAGAATGGGAAAGAATTTCACTTTCAAAACTGTGTAGTGTATATAAGCTCTTTGTTTTTGTTGTGTTAGCAATACTGATTTCATGTTGATTTGGTTAGGTCACAGCTATGGGATATTAAATTATCCGTATTGTCTCACTACATCTTAGCCTTTCTTACCCTCAGGTGTACGTAAACTACAGGTTATACACTTCAAAAATGTGAAATTATCAGTTATGGATATTAGTTGAAATAATCCATATCAGTGCATTCCTAGTATTTGTGTTTCCAAACACTAACCACTCCAATTAATTAGCCATTATTACTGTTAGCAGTAACTGTGGCTTCTATTCTATCTATTCATCTGTACCATTACTCCTGGGATCCAGGCAATCCAGCCAGACTTTCAAAACTGAGTTTGACAGGCTTTTGTAAGCATTTAGCAAAATTCACCATTTAAACAGACAACACACTATCCAGCAGCCGTTAAACCCTTAAAGTAAAATTACCGCCTTGTGGTTGTATGCCTCTGCTAACCAGTCAAGTTGCAGTTTGTATCCATGTCTGTTTGGACTCATAATATATGTAGTAAAGACTTTGAGGGAATTTAATAGGAGGTATTACATGTTTTTTGGGTTTGTTTTTTGTGAAATATGGATGCTTCACACACATCTTCAACCCATCAGCACGGTTTCAAGATTACTGTCACCAAGTCAATATCTGACCAAATGTTTTCCCTTCTGTCCCTGAGATATGAAGTTGAGTAATGGCCAGAAAAATCAGAAAAGTCATAATTTTATTGTGTTAGACATTTGTGTCAGATTTTGTAATCATTAGCATGAGAATTCTTCAGGTGTGGCCAAAAACATCATATGAGTTCATCCTTGAATCATAAGAACGAGATGGATGTAACACCCCAAAACACAATGGCGGCGGTGGAGTCTAATGTTGTCATGATACTTTATTAATCCCACTGAGGGGAAATTCAATTTTTTCACTCCGTTGTCATTAACACACAGGTCCGAAATACACACACATGCACAAACAGGAGGGGGGCTGCCTTGGTCATGCGCCCTGAGCAGTTGGGGGTTTCAGTGCCTTGCTCAAGGGCACCCCAGCAGTGCCCAGGAGGTGAAATGGCACCTCTCCAGCCACCAGTCCACGCTCCGCATTTGGTCCAGATGGGGACTTGAACCAGCAACCCTCCGGGTCCCAACCCAAGTCCCTATGGACTGAGCTACTGCCGCCCCATCAGGCCCATCATCAGGTCTGCACTGATGCTGGTATAAGGAATTGAATTCAGTACGTAAATATCTGGACTTTCACCATATGTTTTCCTGCATGGTCAAATGCTATGATGATGTTAACTGGGAAGACTGTGCAGTGAATCAGGGGTGGAGCCAGATGTAAACATTCAGGACGCCCAAACCTAGGGGGGGTCCAGGGCATGCTCCTGCGGGGGGGATTGTTTTCCCCCAGGTATATGCACTTTTTTCCAAGTCATTTGAGATAATATAATTTCGGGAAAAACATGATTATTGCCAAGAAAAACTAGAGCCCATCTTGTGATGGGATCACCTCAGAAGTAGAGGGGGCCAATGGCCCCTTCTTTACTTTCTTCCCTCTTGCTCTGACCACACCCATCTTCAAAACTGACCTCCATTTTGATCTTACAGTAACTACACATCTGTTAAGTTTTTGAGTTGACAAAATCTCTCAACAGACAGACTGACAGACATATAAACACCTGGCAAGTTACTCAAAATTGTATTTGTGGTAGTTCCTGCTACAATTTGAGCAATCTGGATGATGACATGGCCAAACATGCATACACACTCATGAGATGAAAACAATACCAGTGGTCTTAGCAGTTAAAATGATCATATAGAACGTACATCCTATTTTATATCTAATTGCTTTGCGACTGTGTTCAACATTTTGGGACTAGAACACTACAAATGTAAAGGATGACTAATTTTCACTCATGCTGCCAAAAAAGAGGCAATAACTGTCTGATATTACTAGTGTTATAGTTACATAACATAGGCAGTGTAAGAATGTGGTGTTGTTAATAGAAGTAATAGAACTTTTGCTCCACTGATTTGCCAGTTATGTCAGAAAAACTGAAAATGACACAACATTGAAGGTATTTTACAACCTATAAAATTCAGGGCTCTGGAGCAGGAGCCCCAGAATCTGCCAACCCCCCTGCTCCGTCACTGCCAAATGTGTCAAGTAAGGAGGACAATATTTTTTAACTGGATTCCAATTTCAGTATAGTGGGCAATAATTCATACAGTAATTTCACAGAGAAAAGTTCTGTCAGAGGACAAAGAAAGGTGAGAGGTTCAGAGACACATTACCTGGCCAGTCTCTCAGTGAAGAGGTGGATCCTGTGCAGCTCCTCTGGGTCACTGGGGTCCACCACCATTATACAGTGGAAGTTACCATCACCCACGTGACCCGCTATGGGACCTAGAGGCAAGGACGATAGTATTCACACTCATTCCTGTGGATATTTACAATATAATTTGTATCTTAATTTCTTACTCTGTCTATTTTCTTATGATATATCTGTACTGCTTTTGTACTGTGTTAAGTCAGCTGTCTTTTTAGTTTTTTGCAATAACGTTGTTATATTTTGTATGATAATGCACATTCAATATGTAAGTTTTGAAGGAAGAAATAACACATTTTGGTCAGCAGTAAAAACCACCCATTCTTAGTTCAATACTCTAAGAATATTTGTTTCTTCATGAACCTGGAAGACAGCTCAAGGCTTGTGCCCTTTTTTCAATAAACAAACTATTCAAGGTTTAAGGATGGTAAGGCGGAGGCCATTTGGGAGGCCTGGATGCACATTTATTTATAATTATTACCTTGAAATAAAATAAACAAGAACAACCACTCTGCGGCTGTATACCTCTAACCACCAGTCAAGTTTCTCTTACAGTTTACATCCCTGTCTGTGAAAACATGGATGCTTAACACACATCTTCCCCCCTGCAACACAGAAGATCTATATAATCAGCACAGTTTCAAGATGGACACCCAAGATTAATGTCACCAATTAAGCACCTCACCGAATCATGTTAGTTATGATGTTGAATAATGGCCAGAAAAGTGTTTTATGCAGAACATTATGATGTCACAGTGAAGTTGACCTTTGACCTTTTGGACCATTTATAAAATCTAATCACTTCACTATTTTATCCTGTTAGACATTGGTATGAAGTTTTGTCCGAATTAGCATCATATTTATGGAGTTATGGCCAAAACATATTTTGTGAGGTCACACACACAGACTTTTTACCTTTGACCACAAAATTCTAATCAGTTTATTCCTCAGTCTTAGTGGATGTTTGTGTCAAATTTAAAGAAATTCCCCTCCATGTTCACAAAAGTAAGTTGACATTTGTACCAAATTAAGAAATTCCCTAAAGCTGTTTATAGATATCGCATGCACAAGAATGAGAGAGACAAGGTCACAGTGACCTTGACCTTCGACAACTAAAATCTTATCACTTCATGAGTCAAGTGAATGTTTGTGCCAAATTTTAAGTAATTCCCTCAAGGTACTCGCGAGATATCACATGCACAAGAATGAGACAGAAAAGGTCACAGTGACCTTGACCTTCGACCTATGACCATGCAGTGGCATAAAAATAAAACCTCTCTGATGTTTTTTTGTTACAGTCTTACTTGTTCAGATATGACCAGTAGCTTATGGTAGCTTACAGTGGCAAGGTTTAGGTAGATCTTACTGGGTAACTGACATTACTGAGTCAGTCTGTGGATATAGCAACAATGTTGATTTTGCCAACAGCTGTAGCAGTAATAGATTTATTCATTACTAACCTAATCAACTTATTTTGTATCTGCTACAAGCTGTATAAAACTCCAAAATCTGCATGCCACACTACAACCACCTCAACATGAGGTTTTTCATTTGGTTTTTAAATATTATTTGTGAAAAAAGAATTACTTGACTGGCAACAGGAGAACATTTATCTTGCACTGTACTTATCCAGTACTTATAATTATTCAAAGGTCATTCTGAATGACTGTATCCAGACAATTAAAGAAAGCATCTGATCTGATCATTTTATAAACTATTCAGTTTTAATCATATAATAATAATCAGTATCAAGGATCCAACTTTTACTCAGCTAACAGTCATTAGTGATTGTAATGTAATCACATCAATTAATGTCATTATGACACATTCATAGGTCACAAATAATGCACCTAGAGGCTTTATACTGACAATGAATCACATCAAGCATTATTAACATTATCAAGACTGAGTCTACTTTATGTTAACACCACTAAAATTGTTTTCTGCAGTGCACTCACCGGTTAGTCTGTTCTCAATCAGGTCCTCCTTTGTCTCCACAATGATTTGAGGCAGGCGAGACAGAGGGACACACACATCTGTAGCGTAGGCCTATGTGTGTAGCCATCCACACACACACACACACACACACACACAAGGGGGTGAAAAGGGTCAGTGAGAGCATGATGTCGCGGTACATACACTCTTATGATTACTGTAAAACTTCAATTAATAGCCCAGGCTTATATTTTCTCCAATCACTGAACTCAACCAGCCTTTATGCAGGACATGTGTCCATATATTGTTTTCACACAAAACTCTTGCACAGCAAAAATGGGAAATACTGATAAATTGTTTATTTAGGCCAGTTAGAATATTGTACAAAGCTCCCAGAGACAGCATATGTCTAGACTCACAAGTCAGTCTTTAGATGCTTTGCTTAACTAAAGACTGATGACTTTCTCCCTGATTTTGTGTTTAGATGGGCGGATACAATTTCAGAGTTTAAAAAAACTCCCTACGTTGCAGAACCAATAGTAATTCTGCAGGGCGGTCCTTCGGTGGCTCACTGAACTCTTGTGCTTGTAAACATAGTCCCACTAGAAACACGTGTAGCGGTACAAAATGGCTCAGCCGTGCTCGCAGAAAATGCCGTCAAAGTTAGTGGGTGTTTGTCGCGTTTGCGGCGACACATTCTCGCCAACTAAAAGAAACAAACATAATCTTTTACAAGGCCATGACTCATCCGTCCGACCGGACTATAGCGTTAGAGGGAATTGCCTTGTTGTTTACAAATACTTCCTGGTAGAAAACCAGCAGAGCTTTTAGCTATATATATGTATAGCCTATGTATCACATTTTTCACATCACTGTATCACCGTTTGGGCTAATCCGATGTTTGTAAAGTCTATAAACACAAAGACTGAACAAACATTACTATTTCTGTGTGCACGTTTAGCTGGGCTAACTGTTAGCTGTCAGCCATTAGCAGTGTCTGTAATAGGTAATAACTCATTAAACGGTCCGTGAAAAAAATATCTTCTCCAGCGGATATCTTAGTTACAACATGATTGAGCTAGCAAAGCAGTTTTGTGTTGCTATGTGTGGTATTTAATCAGTTTTGGGAAATCACGATGTCTAGAAAGCATCAGTGGCTGCAGCTGACAGGGACCACTAACAGCAGCAGCAAAGCTAACATCAGGACGTCATCTGTTAAAAGCCTCCCGTTGTCGGATACGACATGAAACTACTCCAGTTAGCTCAATAATGTTGTAACTAAGACATCCGTTGGAAAAAATATTTTCTTCACGGATGAGCACACGTTTGATAAAACGGAGTTAAATCTCTCGGCATCCATTTTCAAGCTCTCTGTGTGTTTGTTTCCTTGCGGATGAGAAAAGGAGGAGCGCACATTTCCGAGAAGGCGTGTCCTTTTCAAAAATGCAAGAGGCGTTGCTTTGTTGCCGGCCGTTTTCGCTGGTGTGTTAAACACACTTTAGATAGGAGTGTCCCCAGACTATCAGAAGGCGGAGATCTCTGATTGTCTGGTGGCAAGACTAGCATATGTCTAACCTCATGCATTGAGAGAGAGAGAGAGAGAGAGAGAGAGAGAGAGAGAGAGAGAGAGAGAGAGAGAGAGATTGCCTATGTTTCCTCCATGTTGAAAGACAGTTCCAAAGAGCAGCTGCTAGGCAAAATCTTTAAACATTGTTTAATGGATTTTTTTTTAAGGTTTTTTTAAGAAAAATTTAAAACCTACCTCAGATTTTATGTTACAAACCAATGGGTGATGTCATGGTAGTTACGTCCACTTTTTACAGTCTATGCTAGAAAGGAGTACTTGTGTAATTGTTTTGTGTTATTTTTCTTTCTTTATTATTTTAAATAAATGCAATCCAGTCTTTAATGAATGCACACTGGAATCAATGTGGGGCAGCATGCTATATAGGTTAAGTAGCCTGGCAAATACCTACAGACTGGCAGTGAGTCCAAAATAGTCCTTTTTTCTTTTATTATTGTTTTTTTGGTTGTTGTTTTTTTTAATTAAAACCTACCTCAGTTTTTATGTTACAGTTGCACTTTTCTTTGTGGATGTGATTACTGATGTTTTAAATCACATTTTCAGAATGTGTTTTACAACATAATGTACCTCAGTGTTGAAAGTATTAATGATTGTACTTTTATATTTTTATTTTCAACGGCCTGTTTTAGGCAATGTTTTATAAAATGTTCTCTTTGTGGCTGCAATTCATGCATAAATGATGACAACTAAAAAAAAAAAAAAAATTCAAAAAAGCTGTGTTAAAGTGTGTTTTTGTGTTTCACCGCTAAAACATTATATTGTTATGCAATTGTTTCTTCACGTTTTATCAACCTTTACCACATGTAGTGCTCATTCCAGAATGGGGAGCTGCAAAAAGCATAGTTAACTGTTAATAAGTGCATAATAAAGGATTTATTAAGCTTAATAAGGCTCTGTTCTCACTTTAGATCCGGTGCATGCAAAAAAGCATAGTTAACTGTTAATAAGTGCATAGTTAACTGTTAATAAATGCATATTTTAATAAAGCAACAAAAAAATCTTAGTAAAGGTTTAACAATGACATAATATGTAAGTTAGTTAAACTCAATAAATGTGTTTGTAATGCTATTATAAACAATTGTAAGAAACTCATAAGGCTTTTATTAATGTTGTTAAGCAGTCTATAAACTGTTAACAAGTTTCTTATAAGTGCTTATAAATGTCTTATAATCTAACAATTAACATGTTTATAATGCTATTATTAACACTTATATAGTCTTATTAAACATTTAATAATGTTAATAAGCATCTTATAAGGAGTTATAAACGCCTTATTACATATTAACTAACGCTTATTACAAGGACCTTAAAATAAAGCGCTTCCAAAAATTCACATTTTTTCCATTGTCTTTTCCTTAGTGTGGACTTACTCTCTCTTTGGATAATTCAGCCACCTCAGAAGCGTGTATCAAGGGATTAAGTGGAAGTGTTACATGCCTCATGGAACTGGAAATTGTCTATGTATTTTATATTAAGTATTAGTTGTTAACTGCACATTGGTCATTATCACAGCGTTATACATTCCACCACAAGCACGTACAGAGGCTGCCCTGTCAGATCTTTGCAGAGACCTGAATTTTCTATTGCTGGAGACTTTAGCACAAGGATCCTAAATGAAGACCCTTCCTTATCCTAACCTTCATAGACATTTATTATTATTATCATTATTATTTTGTTTCTGTTACAGTGTTTTGAATAAGTATATTGACGGAACTATTACATTTCACTGAAGTCATGTTTGTAATTTCATGTGACAAATAAAATGAGCTGATTTTGAATTGAATTGAATTGAACTGAACTGAATTGAATTGAACTGAAAGGTGTAGTGTCCCATGTTGCTCGAGTGCCTCACGCCTGATCACTGTGGCTTCACTCCACACCTGCTCCCACATCTAACTATGTCAATTAGGTCAGTTGGAGTCTAGATTAGGTGGCCAGGTATGCTTTTGAGTCGTGCACACATACGTGCGTCTGCATGGCTGAGTGGTACTAATCACACACAGACAGACATGCATATACATGTTGGACTTTTACTTAATTATCACACGAGTGTTTGTACGTGTGTCTTGTCCCATTTCACAGTGGAAAAAATTGGGTTCTGGCCTCCCCATTCAATTCCTGATAACAGACATCTTGTCAGCCACTATCTCTTACATATTATGGGGGTCAGCAGTTATGTTAAGACTCTTATGAGTATGGTGTGAGATTCACTGGGCATTTCAGTGATAAAACCATTTTCTAAAGCTGTTCATTTTCCCACAGCTTAAGTGTCAGTTGACTTTCTTTACCTTACAGCCAGGTCTCAGAGCCAGAGCAGCGTACCAGGCGTCATGACGAGCTTTCCACAATTTGTTCCATGTTTCTGAATCTCTAGCCCACTGAAAATCGGAACCAGCATTACTCTGAGTGATGTACTCTGTAAAAACACACACACCAGTAATAATTTGGTTTTACACCTGCAAAAGAGGGTCAATTATTGCTAACTACTATAACTTGCCCAGAGCCAAGAGAGGCAATTCCATGTGTATGGCATCATATCAAAATTAAAATTTATGGGATGGGCCGGCAGGTTCAGGAAGAGACACACTTCTAGGAAGAAATCTAGGAAGGGAGATAGGAATAGGTGCTGTTTTGGAATCCAGTGTCCAGTTCTCATATCAATTCATCTATGGTGCACTACATAAAAGTTAGGCAGGTACCAAAGTCATCAGTATTAGGCAGTAGTAACTACCACCAAGTTTCCATCCAATCCATCAAATACTAGATGATACTAGAGATTTTTCAGTATGGAATGAATAAATATTGGACTAAATGATCAGCACTGCCACAGGAGTTACACAAGTTCCTTTTACGCTGCCTCTTCAAGGTGGGAGTGTTGCAGTATAATGCTGCCTCACTGTTTGCAAATTTGCAAACCCTTGGATGGTGAAGGAATGACACATCCCACTCTCCCTATAATTGGCCAGTACTCGTTGCCTTCATTGGTTGGATTGGTTAGGTTTAGGCAAGAGGAATGGGATTGGTTAACTTTAGGGTAATAATGTCAGGGTAAGCCAGTCAGAGGCAGAGTAAGGCAGAGTTAATCAGGATTTACATTTCTGCGTCAAATTGACGCAGTAACCTACGCCATAACTTGACATGTCCTTCCCCAGAAATGTCACTACGCATCGTGGCGATGCAGACCTCCTGTCTATTTTTGTAAGCTGAAAACCATTTCCCTCAGTGGAAACGAATCTTGAATTTACTTCTATTTCACAGATAAGTAACAATAAATTGTGAAAACAATGAAGCCCTCACACAATAGCATTTTTAGTCTTGTGTGTGATTTATCCTGGCTTCATATGAGTAGAGGAAATATCTGCTAGTCCCTAGACTAATTTATACAATGTAAAATGCCATAGGCTTGTGCTATTAGTGTTAGCATGTTGTATCTGTGGGGAAAATGTGTCTAGCAAAACACAAGTGTTTTGTCTGTGAATCCTGCTAGTTTTAATGAAGTCAATTTGTGTACTTGTGTTGAACGGCGTGTTGAACAACGTAGGCTCTGCATCGAGCTGAAGCACAAGTATAAATCCGCCTTAAAGCTATAGCTGGTAATCCTGTTCAGAAACACTTCTTGTTATACTGGTTGAAATGGTCCTTTCATCCTGAGAGTAGTCAATACATAATGTGTTCAGAAAAAGGAATGAAAAAATCAGACCTCTGTGGCAGCTGCAGGCCTGTAAATACTCTGACCAATCCCTGCCATTTGGTGCGAACGGAAAGAACCAATCAGATGCCTTCATGTCTCGTCCTGTCCGAGCCCCCCCTCCGTCCCTCCCTCCTCCCTGCATGCACTCATCACGTGTCACCATTGCCGGAAATATTCAGCACACTCCTCAGCAGAAATACCAAGTTAGCAGGAGTTTGCTGAACAATGGCAGAGAAAATGCAGCCAAAAGTACCACTTCCAGCATTATTTGTAATGGCTCGCCCCGCTAAACAGGCTGAGAAAAGAAAGTTGGAGACAGAAAAGGCTGCGACGAAAAAGGCTTTGGATAAAGCAAGAGGACAAACCAGACGTCAACATCGGTGCAGCTTTTGAATGGTGGAGACAACTGAGGGAGCTGAAGGGCCTGAAAAGTGATGCAGAGGTTGCGGTCTTTCTGTTGGACAGGTAATTATTTGTTTGCTTCGGGGGGATCTGTTATTTTACTTGGCTCTCCTCTGCCCTGCTGACTCCTACCTACTGCAGGATGCGCGTTCAAGTTTGTGGAGCTGTGGCTTTGGACAGAGCACTGACGGGAAAAAATCAAATCAAATCTTGCTAGCTCTCCAACATTACCAACTATAGCTTTAAGGCAGGCCATTCCTTCACTATCAAGAATTCGCTCACCGTCTGTATAAAAGGTACAACTGTGGATTTGGGGACAGAGTTGTCTCGCTTTTAATCCAGTATTGAAGGTGGTATGAGCACTGAAATGACTGATCAGCCAAACCATTAACACCACTGACAGGTGAAGTGAATAACTTTGTTTTGTTTCAGTGCATTGTTCTGCTGGGAAACCTTTAGTTCTGGCATTCATGTGGCTACCACCTGACATGTTCCACCCACTCAAACACAGTTGCGGACCAAGTACCCCCCCCTCATGGCAACAGTACTCCCCAATGGCAGTGGCCCCCAAGCCGGATAATGCACCATGCCACACTGCAAACATCGCTCAGGAATGGCCCAAAGAATTTGACAAAGACCTCAAAGTGTCAACCTGGTCTCCAATATCCCCAGATCCCAATCTGAAAGAGCATCTTTGGCAGGTGCCATTAACCCACCTCACAACCCACTGGACTAAATGAATCTGCCGCCAACACAGTGGTGCCAGACACTGCAGGACACTGGTCTGACCTGAAACTTAACATGTTGGTCAGCAGTGAAGGCAAATAATGTAAGAAGTTCGAACTTTTAGCAATACCTGAGACAGGGTGGAGTAGAACAATGTTGGTTTTTAGCCGTACTAGCTGTAGCTAGAGATGGTGCTACAAAGTCCTTTCTTTATGCCTCCTTTGCATTTGTACACAGAAAGCAGTATGCCACACTACAAAAACTGTTCAGAAATGGCCTGTGGAGCGTGACATAAAGCTCAAGGTGTCAAGCTGGCTTCTAAATTTCCCAGGTCTAATCTGCTCAAGGATTCTTGCGATGTGCCGATTAATAAAATCCTACATCTCATGTCTGAGCATTTTTAAGACTTTTGGAAAATTCAAGATATTTAATATGAAATTTAATATTTAGATCAATGAATTCAATGCCTTTTAAGACTTTATAGGGATTTGCAGGAACCCTGATTTCATCAGTCTGTGACAAAACACTTCTGTGAACATAACAAAATTCATAATCTATTAATATTCGTAATGACGGTATGAAGGTTAATTTTATCTATATTAGGTTTTTAGCCAACTGACATAGTATGTGACTTCAGTTGTTAAAAACCCATTATTATTTTTACTTGTGATTTGTACACTCACACACCGGTTATGTTGACTTGTTCCTCGAGGCTTTGCTTCGAGCCATGGAACTCCAGGAACAGAGTTGGGGTCACAGGACAGGACAGAGAGCTGAACCTGTTGCACGCATCAATCATCACATCATCCAGAAACTCTGGAGAAAACGCATTCACACAGTCAGAACACACACACAACCAAGACAAATGTCAGTGTGATCCATCTCAATACTACACATCATTCTCTGACTTCTGTTGACTTAATGGTGAATTAAATATTTTCTAACTGCCAACAACTGATATTGATTCCTTTATTTTCACTCCTGTGTTCAATTATCCTCCTACTGCAGGGACCCTCTCTCTCTGTGTAAGGGTTTCATCTCTTTGTTTGGTCTCTAAATCAAGTTCTCCCAAACCCTTTTCATTTAAATGTGGGTGGAGCTGTTGTCACTCACTGCTCCGTTCAGTACACACTGTATTTCCTCTTCACCGGTGACACAGATGGAAGTCTGCACCTTACTTATCATCCACAGAAAGAAGTTGCATGCCGACATTTTCAGAAATAAATAAACAGGCTTCAGTGAGAGTCCCTCTCCATGGGATGTTTAAAATAAGCGACTGTGGGCATTTAGTCCTTCTCAGGCAAACGCAGGGGTTTATTGTTGCTGGAGCCCACATGAACGACGCTCGGTGACACTTTTTTTTCTCCGGATGAGAATTAGAATATATGCAGTTCACATAATCCAGTAGTAATTAATACACATTTCTAAATGCTTGAAGATCCACTCATTACTAAAAGTGTATGTCATAGAGAGACAATGAAAACTAATGGAATGGTCACAGCTGTCATATTGAAATTTAAGGTGTGCTGATGGCTTCACATTGCCAGCTCATGCATTGAGCAACATGACAAGTAAACGTAAGATGCCAGCTGTTGGCTCAGTGAATTAAGTTTTAATTTTTTTTCTCAGACTACAGCTGTTGCGAGAAGCAGCAAAACATCCTTTCATTTTATAGTTATAATTTACTAATGTATATAAAACTTGCCACTGTATGAACAGAGCAAGAGTGACCGTCCTTGATTGACCAATGAACGGACTGCAGTTTTTCTATCTCCATCTTTTAGTGCCCGATCAGTGTGCTAGCTACCCCAACAGAGGCGTCATCACAAATGGTTATGGTATGGAACGGTTCTACTGGTACCTGGTACCATCCACAACTTTTCACAGTGGAAATGGAAAAAATGCACACTGAACTGAACTGAACCGTACTGCTTGGTGGAAATGGAGCTTATGATGCTTAAAAGTTTGATTTTAGTATTAAAATTCTCTTTGTACATATCAGAAATAGGAAAATTTGCCCAAATCCAACCATCCCAATGAGGGTTCTTATTACAATGCATCATCATGTGTCAGGCATGTTGGTCTTATTGTCTTGTTTTAGAATCTGGTCTTGCTGTGCTGAGGTTGCACAAGTGCTGTAAACAACTATATAGACTGCACACAATTTCTCATATAAGGATGGGAAAGGGGATGGGAGGATTTTATTACTTAAACCCAAGTGGCGACCTCCAAGGCTGAAAAATGGAGCCAACAAGGAAGTGCCAAAAACTGCAGGTCTTTGAAAGGCCACCTGAAGCTGGCTCCAGAAACCAGTCAATCCCCATAGACTCCCATGTTAAAATGTCCAACTTTACAGCAGAAATAAACATGTTTACAGCCTGTCTCCATGGCTGATAGGGTGCAGTTGTCTACTGTAACGGTGTTGGGTGGTATCTACTCACCGATGCGAGCGATGGGTACTCCTGCCTGTAAGATCTGCACTGTGCTGTCTACAGCAGCCTGTACAGAGGGAAAAGAGCACACGGCCGACAACATGGCCTCTGGGATGCTGTATAGGCGCAAGGTAGTTTTAGTGATGATTCCCAGGGTGCCCTCTGACCCCACAAACAGGTTTGTGAGATTGTAGCCTGCTGCTGTTTTCCTTAACATTGATAAAGATAGAAAAGAAAGGTTCAAGATGCACTAGGCAATGTTGAATATTTGTGGGTGTAAATGGCTAATGAGTACCTGGGGCGTCGGCCCTTCCCAGCTGTGTGTATGATGGTCCCATCAGCCAGCACAACCTCCAGGTTTACAACATTTTCCCTCATAGTTCCATAGCGCACTGCATTGGTACCAGACGCACTAGTGGCAGTCATTCCACACAGAGATGCATCGGCCCCAGGATCTGAGATAATGAAAGCACATCAGCAGTGTTTCCTAAAATATTTTCAAAAATGAAATATACACAGAAAATGAAAATCTACTACAATCCTCACACACTTTTCTAGACAGCACTTGGCTTAAAATTCAAAACTGATCAAAAATGGAATGAATTCAATTGTTTTTAAATTTGTTTTATCATGTAATCCTCACTGTATTTAAAAAATTATAAATAACTTTGGAGATTAAGATATCTTACCCAATGTCACCACATGCTGGATGTATGACTTATAACTACTTAAACAGAAAAAAACAAACATTTTGCAATGTCACCTTTGATGGAACAAGGGGGAATAAAATGATCGGCTCTGATATAATCCATACTTAGCTAGATAAAGCAGTGGAAAACAAATCTGACAATACTGTCTTTCACTCCCACAAGATGAAAACAGCTGTTAGTGGAAAGCAACGTCAGCCACTTTTTACACAGAGATGGTGCTATAGAACTTTAAGTCTCCTCTTTATGTTGCTTTTGCATTTTTATACATAACCAAACATCAGCAGCATCATGCTGCACCAGTGTGTGATTTTAGACAGCATACCGGCATCGCGGAAGCCAAAGAGGCGTGATAATCATGACATGTAACACAACAGCGTCGGCCTCTTGTGTGACATATAACATATGCATCAGCAGCGCTTTCTAAACAATAACAACGGCATAACATGTTAATGACAATCAGTTACTGTCTCTGTTATGCAGTGGCTGATCAGAGGGTAAGAAGCTCCTGTGCCTCATTGTTTTCCACACACGCATGACACCTCGTCAAAACACCCATGCCACCCATGATCGCGTCTTGCAGGCTGTAGCTTTCACACAGACGTCCTTTCAGCGCTGTTACTGTCTCATAAGCCGGCTTAAAGGCGAGACAAGTCCGTCCCCCCATTCCACAATTTTCTCCACAATTGTACATTTTATACAGAATAGCGAGCTGGAATAATGGAGTGAAATTCCCGCCTTGAAGAGGCAGTGTAGAAGAGGCTACTGCCTCTTCAAGGCAGGAATTTCACACAGCTACTAACAACGGCTGACGACTCCTTCGGAGGCGCCTCCAAAGGACTAGCCTTCGGAGGCTGCATAGGCCGCGTCCTCCGAAGGATGCAGACCCTGAATTGGGACACAGCTAGTGTCACCAGAGATATTGAATAAAGGAGATACCCCACTGTAGGCTTATCCAATGTTAAGAAAACGGTTACTCTTCCTGTCTCCTAAGTGGGCGTGGTTAGCTCTCCCTCCAATCACGCTGACGTCACTGAATCAGGAAGTGAGCTGAGTGGGGTATCTCGCTTCATCCAATATCTCTGGTGTCACAGTTAATGAACACTGTGTTAAAGGGATAGTTTGACATTTTGGCAAATTCGCCTATTGCCGTAATCCCTATAGTCATATGAGTAGGTACATTACCTTTAATTGTGAGAGCGTGCTGTTCTGAGATCGGTGGGGCAGAGCTGCCTGCTGAAATGGAGGTGAACGGTACAGGTCCCTCTCTCCCTCAAAACTAATCAAATACACCATCAAATGACTCCAAAACGCTCTTGTGGACAACTTGTAGCTTACACATTCACCACGCTATGAAATAATAACGTAATATTATGAGACAGAGTTGTTTTGAAGCCAAATGCAGAGCCAGAACTACATTCCAGACATACAGTACTTGCTGGGCGGAGTGATTTCAAACAGCGTATGTTTAGTGCAGTTACTCCCGTCATCAAAACAATAAGTTTGTTGAGAAGAAGCCAGAATATACAGAGGAAGAGTTACAGGTTTTGGAAGAAGAGAGAGCAAGAAGAGAGGCTGAGGCTGCTGAACAACCAGGGGCTGAGGGGAGACCCAGAGCCGGCGGTGTAAATGTGGGGCTTACTGGCCACTTTATTAGGTACACCTGTGCAATATAAATATAGTGCACACCTCAAAATAATCACCGGAACACGGGGAGAACATGCTAACTCCACACTCATAAATCACCACAACTCCTGAAGGAACAACAACATAAAATGTTCCCTAGCAGTCTGTTTATTCCCAACAATGAGAAGTAATGCCAGTCACTTCACTATATGCTCTGGGCAAGCACTTATCCATAACATAACCACAACAACATTTGCATTTCAGCCTTATTTACCATGCTTGGGTTGTAGGCTAATGTTACTCAACATGGAGGTAACGTTACAGCAGAGAGATTGCTGAGCAAAATACATAACGATCACTTACCACGTCTGCTCGTTTTGTGATGCTGACAGATGGTATGATAGTATCTTTCAAGAAAAGTGTTTGAACCATTCCTGAGCTTCTGCGCTCCATCCTTTCACTGTAGTCTTCCAGTAAAAAATGGCAGGAGCACACAAACATTTTCCGGACTGTTTCCACAGGCATGTTGGGGTCAATGTCCAGCACAAATAGCCATTGTTTCATCCTGTCCATATTACTGGTTGGAACTACGTGAAACTTCACTCTGCTCCATGTCTTCGGCTTGTTACTGCAACCTTTTACAATACATGTGTAAACCATGATTTACAAAAACACTTGTAAACTTTCCTCAAACCTTCTGGTGTGTCCAGCTGATGATACCGCGAATGGCTACAAGCAATAACAACGGCACTGTCTCAGCTGCGCACTGTGTCACTCCGCCCAGTGGTTTACTCAAGAAAGTAGTTCCGAGTATTTGCTTCATGTGTTGTAATGTTACTTAATTATACATTATTATTTCATAGCGTGGGGAATGCGCAAGTCATGTGTTTTCCACTAGAGCGTTTTGGAGTCATTTAATGGTGTATTTGATTAGTTTTGAGGGAGAGAGGGACCTGTACCATTCACCTTCATTTCAGCGGGCAGGGTCCTGTATCATAAAGCGAGATCAACCTTTCCTGGGTTACCCAGACCTATCCTTGGTTGACTAACCCTAACAATGGCAATCAGGATAATCAGTATCACAACGCTGGATATCAATTCGGTAACTCAACCCAGGGTTGCTTTATCAAGAACCGTGAACACGCAGCGGACCAATCACAATCATGAGAGAAGCGCAGCGTCACTGAGCGTCACTGAGCGTCCTCACAGAGCGCCGTATGTGAGGGAAAAAAAGTATTTCTCGTGAGGATCAGACATTAATTCTACTAAAATATGAGGAGGAGAAAAGCAACATTACAGAAAAGGCCAACACCGTGGCAGCTGCAGGAGGAGGAAACATGCGTGGCAACGCATAACGGGATGAATAATGTTTCGTTTTAGTTTAGATTAGTTTATTTGCACATAATGTTAAAAATAGACAGTATAAAATTTACAAGATTAAAAAAAAGAAAAGTGGCGGAGAGGTTAGAAGCCACTAAAAGCTTATCAAAGAAATTCCCCTGTCAAAACATCAATGAAATCACATGATAGAGAAGAAAAAAAAAACGGGCAAGGAAAGAAGAAGTAGAGGAGGAGAGAGGGAAAAATCAAGACAAAACAATGTAGCAAATAAAATGATGTGTAGGTTAAATTACTCATCACTGGTTCAAGTAGCTACAGTACCTGTACCTGTACATCTGACACTGATCACACCCTTGAATCCCATGAAATCAATGCTGCGCAGATGAATTGCGTGTATTACAATTATTGTCTAACATCATTGCGTCTGATGAATTGGTCTTTTTATAGGATCAGATTCAACCCTGAACTTACCCTGCTCCAGAGCAGGATAGCCGTTCAGAGTAAGTTACCATGGTGATCTACCCCAATAAGAACTGAACTGGATTTGTGAGACCGAAAACCCAGGGTTAACCCTGAAGTTACCTCGCTAAGACATTAATCCTGCTTCGTGATACAGGCCCAAGCTCTGTCCCACCGATCTCAGAACAGCACGCACTGACAATTAAAGGTAATGTACCTACTCATATGACTATAGGGATTACGGCAATAGGCGAATTTGCCAAAATGTTGAACTATCCCTTTAAGCTGCATTGAATTGCCTCTTCTGTGGGCAATTGTTTTTCTATAAGTTTACATCTTGGCCATTAAAAATGTACTTTAGCCAAAAAATGTAGGGGCTTGTTGTCCCATGGGACCAGTGCTTAAATATTAGCGTCTGTCACTAATAAGCATTAGTTACTCTAGCAGGGGAGGTTGGATAACAGCAGCGACTAATTAACTATGATAGCTCCCTTCATTCGACTCTCCGTTTTCTCAGAGCTCAGCACTGCTAATGTGGTGTGCAACTGGTCAATGGCGCAAACTAGATGCAGAACATTTGTGCAGATTCCCTCCCTCCAAGTACTTACTACAGTAATTCCATTGGAATTAATTTAATTTGCCTTAAAATGATGCAGTTTTAAACACTGGTGTGTCCAGTACTTTCCTGTGTTCTACTTACTAATCTAATATAAAATACAGAGAAAACTAAGCATGTGACTGACCAACAGGAAACCACAGGCCAGTGTCTCGCAGGTAGGCATTGAGGGCCTTCCGAGTCACACCAGGCTCCACTGTCACGTCAAAATCCTCCTGGTGGAGATCCAGAACCTGGTCCATGTTCCTCAGACTGAAGCACACACCACCCTGAGGGCAGGAGAGAGGATCCATGACCCACACAAAAACATTTGTTATTTGTCATACTTTCTATTTGGCATGTATTTAATTCCCCACTGTACTGCAGTTACTGATTTTATGCTGTCATCTAGCTATCTTGATATATACTGTGATTGTGTATTTTCATACTTTCCATTCATGACAATGTTAAAGGATAACTTCAGCATTTTTCAGCCTGGACCCTATTTCCTTGCGTAAATTGGTCAAAGTGTCTGATGTGAACAACACGTTTTGACATTTATCTAGTATTGAGCGAGTACGCAGAGGCCGGCAGCCACAGGATGAGCTGCAACGGAAGCACACGGGGCAATTGAACACCGTCACTGTATGTCCATTAAAAGTGGTCATTTTCACAACAGAGTGGCTCAGATTGTTATTATAAATGTCTGGAGTGTCTCTTTACCTTTTACTTCATCCGGTCTGTTTGTTATTGCCTCGTTAAGGAGAAGACTTTTTCTCAATTATCACAAGATTTCATACATGAGTTAGATCTGGAGAGAGTATAAATAGATCACTTATTTTATCATTATGAATGTCAGCTGATGAAAATGGGTAATCAATCTATTTAGATTGGTTATAATCAGTGCTGAATCAGTTGATATTTTGCACCTCCTAATCGTTTATTGATTGATTGTTTTTGCTGTTATCCTGCCATACTTTCATGTGTAATGTTATGCAATGCAAGCACAATAACTTTGGCTAATATCATTATCATAACCTCCACTCATCTGCAGCAGGTAAATCCGCTCTTGGAACAGCATTTTCTCTGTAAAATAAGCTCCGGCTGCCGCATCCACATGATTGAAATCTGGTTATAACCATCCATGATAGACAACACTGTTTGTTTTCAGAGAAAAAGCTGTAAAAGTTTTTTTTCCCGTCAGGAGTTGGTAGAGAACAGGTTGAAATTTTGTTGATTTCCAGAAAAGTAGTCCAACCCTGCTCTCATATTTGCTTTTTCAGTAAATGGTTTAGCTCCAGTTAAAAAACACAAGTGCACATAATAGTGGAAAATCTATTACTTTCATTACTGCTTCTTCTTCCAAGTATTAATGCAAATACATCAAGTCACAGATATGCTTACACACACATATACAAGGGCTTCCTCTCTCTCACCTTGACTGCACTGACCCCTCCCTCCAGGCCAGTTCCAGTGCCAAAGGGGATGATGGGAAGGTGGTGGTTGTTGCAGACCTTGGCCAGGGCGCTTACCTCCTCCACGCAACGAGGAAACACCACCACATCTGGGGGACAACATCTAGACAGCAGCAATACAACACAAACTCACTAAATGTTCTACATACTTCTCCACTAAAAGCACCTTTTGGTAGCACCCCACAAATTGTCTCATCTTTTAATGCCGAGGGGAAAAAGACAGTGTTTTCTGCCATGCCAAAGAGTTGCTGTGTGGCTTTCTGCATGTCAAAAAAACTTTAAAATCCACGAATCAAGAGACAGAAGCCAGTAGGAGCCCTCACTGTTCCCTGATAGAAGAACACATTCTTCTGTAATACAGCACATTGTCAAAAGATAGACTCATGGTGTTAAGTAATGTTAGAGTGCATTCATACCAAATCTGGCACAGTGGGTTGTGTGCCGTTGGAGTGTAACTTGGGTGAGTGGAGGGTGAAGAGAAAGCCGATCTTCCCATCTCAGCAACTGAGTATTTGTTTTCTGTAAATTTGTTTATGTTGGCTTAAAAAATCTGTAGAATTCATTTTGACTATCATTAGGCCCTGATCACACAGAAAGTATTTTGCAGGTTGCAAAACACAAGGACTGCCCTTTTTTTTTTTTTTTTTTTAAATTGAATGCCACAGGTAAAACAAAAAAAACAACAAAACAAAACAAAAAAAAAAACGCTTGCTGTACCTTTTTGTTGTTGCCAAGCAACTTTTCTAAATTTTATTTATTTCACAGTAATTAGTAGCTAGTTCCTAAAGTGCACAGGCAGAGGTTACTTGCTGTAGCTCTGGTTGAGGGTGAGAGGCTGTCAGCAAATAGTTTGTTGTGCACAGGGAAACAGAGATCTGTGTGGGTACATGAGACCCTAAAAAAACAGGGTGGATCACGGGGAGAACCAGCAGTTGGTCCAGGAGCTTCGCCTCAATGATGGCCATTTCAAGTACTGCACTTATACTCTTCCACACCTGTTGTTTTCTATTGAGATTGTAGTAACTGCAGTTTGTTAAGTTGTATAGCTCTGAGAATCCAACAACTACTACCACTTTCTCCTCCATTGTTTACCAACTGTAAACTTGTTGTCATGACCACCACAGAAGGCCGCCTCCCAATTCATCCAATTGGACAATGGGAAACAAGCGGAAGTGATGTGGGGAGCTTTTCCGCTCTGAGTTGAAGTTTTTTCAATTCAAGGAGTTCACAGTGCTCCAGAAAAAACAAGACAAAAGCTTCAAAGCTGCCTTCAGCTGCTAAAACACTTTCTGTGTGGTTGATCCAAATGGATCATCAAATCCCGATGGTGGAAGAAACTTTTTGCAGGGGGTGTGATGTGTAAGTCAATGGTAAAAGTCTTTTTGGGCTGGAGGGGGGTCACATGATGATGTAATTACACTGTTTGGGCACTACGAAAATTGCTTTCAAAGCTCAGTACACATCCTAGATACGGTGTGGAATGCGGGTGTCTTTCCGGTCTGATTGCTGGATATGTGATTGGCCACCATAGTGAGACACTGGGTTGCGTTCCTCCAAAAGTTCAATCTGTCTCAACTTTTCATTGCAAGCTGCTGTGGTTTGTTTTTTTCATGCCTAGTTATCTTTGTCAAGTGACAGCAAGGACTCTACATAAGACATGGCACGTTGCTGACATTAGCATGTGAGTTCAAAAACTGGGGTTTGCCATTATTTCTAGGTTTAGAGTGTTTTCCCCTCACCGACTCCACTCGGCAGGCAGCTGTTTTCAACAAAACAGCCCTGATAAAGCCGCTGTACTATACCTGCTCAGCAGCAACAGCAGATAGACATAGTTAGAGACTTGCTGGTGAACATGGTGGAGCATTTAACAGCCACTTATTTTTTTCTCAGGAGCCAAAAGAAGAGTCTGTCCAGGCCTAGTCCACATGTACAAGGGTATATTTCAATATGTCGTTTTTTCTATGCGTATTGACCTTTCATCCACACCAGACTGTGCAGCCTTTTGTAAAACTTTTTTCAGAAAGTCCATTTTCAGTGTCGATGTGTAGACAGGGAAAAGCAAGTTTTTGGCTTAAAATGTCAGTGTGTGTACCATTATCATCTCTGTGAGGTGTCACTAATGGTGGACAATGGACAATTTGTGGCGGACGTGAACCATTAGTATCATTTTTTTTTTTGTAATGCCACACAACTTGTTTATGTGCTCTATTTGCGTAGTATTGAAAACAGCATTAACAAACAACTTTGTGTCTGTGGAGAGAGTGTGAGAGACTGACCTGTGCACAGACTCATCTTTGCCGTGTTGCTCTCTGACAGCCTGACCCAATGAGATGGCGTCCTCACCACATATAGACCTGAATGAAGAGAGCACGCTGTCCAGAGCAGCACTCTGTGCAGACATACACAGACATACAGACACACACAGACACACACACACACAAATGATTACACGCTGTGATGATGGTGAGTCATCTCAAGAGGGTGGGACAAAAAACATAAAATATGATATTTTACACTTGAATTGAGGAGTAAACTGACAACTGGCCTTGATATGTTTTACCTCTTGTGTAAATAGAACAAGTCTAGTTGAAATTAGCAATTTGAAATGTCTACAGCTCACTGAGTCAAAGGGTCAATAAGGAAAGGCCTCTTGTATTTGAAGTTTTTTTGTTTTTCTTAAAAATTAACCAGTTAATTACCAGTTAATGGGTGTCAGCCTTTGGAAAGCAAAATTAACCAAAACTGTCATCCCTACACTAGAATATTTACTATTTGACTCGATGATATGGCTACACGATTTCTCTTCAACAACTGACCACAATGATTTCTTCATCTAAATCAACGTGTCTCTTAGACCCCATTCCAAATAGGCTACTTAAGGAGGTCTTACCTTTAGTTAACACTCATATATTAGACATGATCAATATATCTTTATTAACAGGCTATGTACCACAGTCCTTCAAGGCAGCTGTAATTAGACCTCTCCTAAAAAAGCCCACCCTGGATCCAGAGGTGTTAGCCAACTACAGAACGATTTTTAATCTTCCCTTTCTTTCAAAGATCCCTGAGAAAGTAGTTGCAGAACAGCTGTGTGATTTTCTCCATGATAATAATTTATTTGAGGAATTTCAGTCAGGATTTAGAGTGCATCATAGCTCTTAGACAGCACTAGTTAAAATTACAAATGATCTTCTGATTGCTTCAGACAAAGGACTCGTCTCTGTACTTGTTTTATTAGATCTTAGTGCGGCATTTGACACAACTGACCATCAAATTCTGCTACAGAGACTGGAACATTTAATTGGCCTAAAAGGTTCTGCACTAAGCTGGTTTAAATCGTATTTATCTGATCGTTTTCAGTTTGTTCATGTTAATGATGAATCATCTCTATGTACCAAAGTTTGTTTTGGAGTTCCACAAGGTTCTGTGCTCAGACCAATCCTATTCACTCTATATATGCGTCCCTTAGGTAACATCATTAGAAATCACTCTGTAAATTTCCATTGTTATGCGGATGATACTCAATTGTATTTATCGATAAAGCCAGAAGAAACTGATCAATTAACTAAACTTCAAAAATGCCTTAAAGACATAAAAACCTGGATGAGCACCAGTTTCCTTATGTTAAATTAAGACAAAACTGAAGTTATTGTTCATGGCCCCAAACAACTCAGAGACTCTTTATCTGATGATACAGTTTCTCTGGATAGCATTGCTCTGGCCTCTAGCACTGCTGTAAGAAACCTCGGAGTAACATTTGATCAAGATTTGTCTTTTAATTCTCATTTAAAATAAACCTCACGGACTGTGTTTTTTCATCTGCGTAATATTGCGAAAATTAGGCCTATCCTGACCCGAAATGATGCAGAAAAATTGGTCCACGCTTTTGTTACCTCAAGGCTGGATTACTGTAACTCTCTATTATCAGGTAGCTCTAATAAGTCTTTAAAAAGTCTCCAGCTAATTCAGAACACAGCGGCACGTGTACTAACAGGAACTAAGAAACAAGATCATATTTCTCCTGTTTTAGCTTCTCTGCACTGGCTCCCTGTAAAATCCAGAATTGAATTTAAAATCCTACTGTTAACTTACAAAGCTCTAAATGGTCAGGCTCTGTCATATCTTAGAGAGCTCATAGTGCCATATTATCCCACCAGAACACTGCACTCTGAGAATGCAGGGTTACTCGTGGTCCCTAAAGTCTCCAAAAGTAGATCAGGAGCCAGAGCCTTCAGCTATCAGGCTCCTCTCCTGTGGAATCATCTTTGTGTTGTGGTCCGGGAGGCAGACACCGTCTCCACATTTAAGACTAGACTTAAGACTTTCCTTTTTGATAAAGCTTATAGTTAGGGCTGGCTCAGGCTTGCCTTGTACCAGCCCCTAGTTAGGCTGACTTAGGCCTAGTCTGCCAGGGGACTTCCAAAAATACACTGAGCACCTTCTCTCTCTCTCTCTCTCTCTCTCTCTCTCTCTCTCTCTC